TATATATATATATATATTATATATAGAATCAAATCAAACCAAACTGACTCAACCACTTTACCTTTATTTGTTAATTTTTATAACTATATCAGTTTAAAAAAGCAAACAAATCAGAAATAGTTTTATTTGATGTTAATTGACCAATTCACAATAAAACCAACTCATTTGACCATGGTTTTTCTGTTTGGTTTATAATGGGTCAAACAAAAGTTTACCATATAAATATTCAGTTTATTTATGGAAATTGATTCAAATGACCATAATTCACAATTAAATTGATCTCTTGATTATTTTTTTCAGACTTTATCCAAAAGTCACTAGTTTCGTAATACTCATGTTCGCAGTTATTACGGACCTATTAAACGACAAAATTCTAAAGTTTCTTGGCCCAGGTCCGTAATAATTACGGATCCGGCCTAAAACCCATTTTCAATGGTGGGCTGATTCATAGAAAAATGGGTTTTGGGTCGAATCTGTAATAATTCCGGACCGATGGTTACGGACTTGGCCCAAAAACATTGATTTTTTTTGGGGTTGCGAATATGGGTATTGCGGACCTAGTGACTTTTGGTTAAAGTCTGGAGAGATGATTATGAGGTTATTTTGGTTGTGGAATGTGGTCATTTGAGTCGATTTCTCATTTATCTGTACTATATTAAAAATATGAGTTACAATTATTTTGAATTTTTTAAGAGGTATAATCAGTTAAAAATATTACACAAACTCTTAAAAGCTTACAACCTTCCTCGAACTTCCATTTTAAAGTTACATTTTATACCTTATAATTAATGATTTGATTGTTCCATATCTCTTACTTTTTCATTTTACATCCTTATCATATTAATATAAATAATCGTATATGAACTAAAATGCATTTAAAAATATGTTTTTTTTATGAAGTATATCATTATAATCGTCTCGTCAATACCTTCAAATTAAGCCAAATATTGAATATTTTTAGATTTAATAATACTATTAAATATCATGAATACCTACGAGTTAATTTGTTCTATATTCATACATTTTCTTTTTCATTTTACACATTTATCATATTAAAAATGCATAATCATTAACTGAAATACATTAAAAATGCGTTTTCTTTATTTAATACACATTATACCATTATTAGTTGTTCATAATTGGTTACAGACCATCACATACTGCAACAAAAGCTGCTGTCATGGATGGAGGAGTGAAACGCCTTATCGTTTTTATATGTTTTTTGCAATTATCTTTTTTAACTCTATTTCTCATTTCATTAAGTTCAGATTTTTCTAATTTTCCTTTTTTCTTTGTGGGTTTTATATGATATGAATTCAGCTGTGATTCCCCAATGTGGAGAACTGGTGAATTTTGACTTCCAATGTCTTGTTGTAATCACGTTGGAGATGCTACTCTTTCTCTTAAACTAGAAGGGTTCATGGAAATTGATCGAATGTTTTTTCCAACGTTAATTTTTCACATGTTATATTTCACTTGCTTTTTGTTGAACTAAATATCAAGACTATGTTTGGCAAACTAGCTAATAGGCTATCTGGTAGTTGATAATCTAGCTGATGAACAAATTACGTTTGACAAAAAATAATTGATAAGTTAGATGAAAATATCTGACTGAGAAAGACATATTTTAGTTGATTACAAAATTTTATAATGTAATTAAAAAAATTCTTAATAAAATAATATGTTAATTAAAAGAATTTCAAATTGATTATTATTATTATTATATATCATAAAAT